CGTCTCGGCGTTTCCAATATGACATGTGGGAGCGCGGCAATACACCCGCCAAAGCGAGCACGGCCAAACACTATTTCTCGAAGCTCTCTTTGCACTTTTACACCCCTGTAAATTCTTTGTGGATAAAGATAGAAGGCACAATAGAACCTCGATAAGTTAAAGTCCAGGTAAAACACAACTATTTTAAGTTATAGTGGTTTTAAGTTATCAAGGGTCTATGTTGTAGGTCTATTTGTTGAAGTTCGAGGGGTTTTTAAGTTACCGAGGTTTGAGTTATCGAGGTTCTACTGTATTTCCAAAATATCTTTTAATTGTAGTTACCTAGTAGTTTACAAATCGTAGTTATTTGAATTTTTCATTTTTCTACACAATGATGCTACAAACTAGAAATTTTTAATTTAGGAGAAACTGAAAAATTAGGGGCTTGAGTTCTTAGAACATTCCATAGCTTGATATTAGAGGGTCCCTAGATCATAAGAAACTAAATAAAAACTGAATACATGAAATGAGGACCTACCTTCCATGATGTCTTGTCTCACGGCCAGGCTGAGCTGGTACCTGGAGTTATCGTCGCGTAGTTCCGAAGGCTCTGGTGGATAGAATTTCACCACGAAACGTACTTCCCACGGCTCGTCTGATAATTATTGTACCAATTTATTTAAACACACTGTAATTAAACACACACTTCTTTGTTACCTAAGATGCCAGCAATTACAGCATATTTTCGAATAACTCCTTTTTTAATAAAAAGCCCTAAACTTACATCACGCTTTAGGCTATACATTTTCACGCCATTAAACTTATGGGGGTAAGTATTTTGGATAAAAACCTGAATGTGGGAAAGAGACCATAAGTTGCTGCCAACATCAAGGAAGCAAGGTTGTCATGGTTTGTCATCTTGTCATGTCATTTTGACATTTGTAATTAATAATTTGACACGTGTAAACTATAAAATGATTTTTTTTTAATTTCATGCGGATGAAGTCGCACGGGAACAGCTAGTTCATTATATTTGCAAGTATAGTAAATGACCATTGACTAAACTATCGCACGACTATTATGCGATTGGTGATTGTCACCAGTTCAACTATTTAGTTGCATTAAAAATCGAGTAGTGTGGGCACGACCATAAGCTCATAAGGATCAAAGACTAAACAGTTGTGCGATATTTTAGTCAGATTTGTGCACTCTAAACATACTTCTGAATGTCTTGGCGAGTGTCCTCTCCATGTCTATCCAGACACGTTGTTCTGTCTGGTTCGCGCGAATCACACCGAAGTAATCCCTCTCAACTATGTCGAGGTCATCACAGATGCGGTCCAGCAAGTCTACACCTCGCGCTTTACGCTGGAATTAACAGTTTTAACTATATCAACTAAGAGATGGTCATCTTTTCCGTGAATTCTATTGTGACCTCTGTTAAACTGCTGATTAGATTTCAACTAGTAAATTCTATTTAAATTTTTCTTCTGAGATAAGAGATAATTTGTTACTTTAAATGGATAGTGTGTGTTACTTTTTATATTATAAGGTGGCAAACGAGCAAGCTGCCAAAATGGTGGAACGACCGCTGCCTAGACATCCGCAATTGCAGATGCGATAACCTTACTCGACGGAAGAGACGCATATATAAAGGACTTTTCCCCGTCCTATGCTTCTCCTCCACTGTCTAATTCACTGTTCTTTCCTGTCCTTTCTTCTTAAGTAAAGGAATGAAAGGGAAAGGGAGTTAAATTAGGCTCGACACAACATTCATCAGACTATAAGTTAAATTGCTTCCACTTGACGCCTGTCTTCTGTGTGATCGTGGTATTACACCAGGCGAGCCCTACTGTGCGTTGTTAAAGTGGGCTCTACCATTGTTTAAATATTACTATTAAGTTTTAATACTTACGTCAACGTCAATACTGATATACTCCCCGTCCAAGAGTTGCACGCGAACGCGCTTAGTACATCTGCCCGCCCGCGCCATGCCCTCCTCCGACGTGCTGCCCGACCCCGCCAGCCGGCGCAGGCTCTCGCGCATTATATTACCTGCAAGTAACAATACATCATCACCTCTACCTTATCCTACTCCCGTAGGGCTTTCGTCCTCATAACTCTGTCATCCGTCATCTCAGTCATCACTCCCTTCTTTATCCTTTCACGCACTCCATCTATCTCTTTCATTTCATCTACCTCTTATATTTTGTTTTTTTTTTTATTAGATATCACTATGTTTTTATGTCTAGGTTTTAAGTTCAACTTACCTTACCTTACCAAAAACTTACGAGTTTGAAATATATTTAGTTATATTCCTTTTATACCGTGACTAGTGTGCGGCGCATTTATTTAATTGCTGGCAACAAAACTAAGTGATTTCTCGTAATTTTTGTTTAAAGACCAAGGTTTTCTTTACAAATTGTGTCAATTTTCTTTACAATAAAAATGACCTTGTGATAATTACGATTTTTAAGTTACGCGTCATCGCTTTAAGATACTGTTTTGTTGTAGAATTCAATAATGTTTTCCATTATTCTAAACAGATTTCTGGAAATTTATATCTCCATTCTAGACATCATCTAAAGTTTTATTAGATCCCTTTAATAGCAAATCTTACGTCAACTGGCAAGAAGCCCGCACTTTACTACGCATTCTCACACGCAACTCGCCCATTAATAATGCAACTATACTATGTGACGGTCACGGGCCTTGTTCTTCCTTTAATTATTAAATTATTTCTTTTAATTACAACGAACCTTCTTTTGCGAATACCTAAAGGCTACTGTAACTTCGGAATTCAGGTGGCTGTGTTCTTTGTTTGCACATCTATACAAATGTTATAAAGAGGAAAGATTTGTAATTTTCTATGTATTAAAATAACTCAAAAAGAACTAGGCCGATTGCAAAAATTCTTTCACCATTCAAAAGCTACATTATTTTGTCGTCATTCGAGTTTCGAGTGAGTTATAATAGTAAGGTTTTTATTTACCTATCAATCCGTCAATCTTACAGATCCTCGTGTTATTTTGGCAATACGTTATGGCGCCTTTTAGTTTATGGCTCAACTATTTCCGGAGCCAGATAGGCCATTGCGTACTTTACTATCGCATAAATAAACACTCGTTAACCGCACATTTAAACTAGAAAATGAAATGAAACAATTTCTATTAACATGATTAAATTAAGTAAAAAATATTGCTTTATTTGCGATATATTTAAGTGCGGTATTTTAGATTGTTTTTTTTTATAGTTTACAGCCTAAGCACTTCAAAAACATTCTAGAAAAAAAAAACAATTTACTTAAAAATAACGATATAATTCCTTGAATTACTTAGACATCCCTTATTGTAGCTATTATGTCTAAATTGTATATATATTATTATTTTGAAGTCAGTGTCAGTCAAAAGAAAAGTACAGAAAGCCCAATAACACTCGCCCTGAAAATGGACCCCCGATGGATCTGAAACTAGTCTGTGCCACCAAATAGACGTGAGTGACAACCGTTTAATAAATAGTTAAAATACTTGTACAATACATAAGATTTAATAAAGGAGATCTAATGGCCGGTTTCCCAACTACATGTAACTATTCGTTAGTGTTTTTGGTTCGATAACTTCAAGAAATGCATTTCAGAACTAACTTGAGTTTCACTCCTTAAAGTCTTAGGTCCATCTGACACTATTGAATCACTAGGTTACTATAAAATAAATGGAAACTTCAGAAACCCGGCATAAGTAATTCAAGGAATTATTTCGTTAATTTTCAGTGTATTTTTTTTTAATGTTATGTTTTTAGTGTATTTTGGTAGTCGGTTTTTTGTTGAATTTGTTATTTTACTTACACATAATTTTCGCAACACAAAGTTATAGACACTTGCACACGTTCGCAGCGCAAAATGTGAATTATACAAACTAACATTTGTAATGAATCAATACGTCCATCTGTCAGTTCGTACACATTTCAACTAACACTGTGTTTGTATGTTATATGAACTAAGATAGAGTACAGATGCTAAAATTCTGCGCTCTACGTAAAACGAGCCTTGGGTTCGATCGATTTTAAAAAAATGAATAAAAACTCACTATTACAATGCAAAAGTTTGCGCGGATGGGTGTTTGTTAGATTTTGTAACCTAAACTGATGAAATTTGTCCTTGATGAAGAACAGTTTAGAAGAACACATAGGATACTTTTGCTTTTTTTAATTCCACGCGGTCAGTGACGCGGGCGAAAGCTAGGTATACTGATTTTGGCTCTCTGTATTGGGTCAGTGTGGACTAAACGCTCAGTAGAAACGCACCTTTAATCTGACCGTTAATTTTCAATTATATTTTGTACAGGAGTAGCAGTGGAAATGCTACAACAAGATTAGTACAAATAAACACCTACCAAATTGTTAAAGATTATCCGCGTCTGTGCAACGTTTTAATATACCATCATTTGTTAAGGTATATAATAAATTATCATGTTACTGGATTTAGAAAACTAATGAACTGAATAACAGGTTATTAAAACAAAAAGAAACGTGAAATGTTTTTAAAATGAATTCATTATCTTTCTGTCTTTATCCCACTTACGTAGACCAGACGCGTGTCATTTCAGACGACTCTTAAACATATGATTTTAAACACTTCGATTTAAGTAGCCAAGCAACTTTTGCGAGAGACAGTGGAGTTCGGGTCGTCTACAGTTTTCTGTCAAAGCAAGTCGTTTGTCACCTGTTTGTCAAAATCATGACAAAAGTTGCTACGATTTTAATGATGTCGGTGCAAAACAATTGGCATTCGGTACATCGGTACATGTGTCAGCATTAGTCTCTACCTGTACTGATCGAATAGACGACTCGCGTCGACGATTCATAGATGAGCTTCCTTGTGTACAAAGGACTTTATATGTGTGAGGGACTGAAAGAAAATCTTAATTTCCACAACCTTGATTCCTTGTGTGAAAATAAATAATAAATAAATACTTTAAAACAGAATATTACAAGATTGTCTGTACTTATGTTAAGGTTAATTTTACTCTGGCAAAAAAAGGAATAAAACCCGACCTGTTCTGGGTTACATTCCTATGTGACTCATGAATTCTTAACCTTTTTTGAAACATGAAATAAACTATATGCAATATAGCAACAATGATAGTTATTTAGTTGTGCCTAATATCATTGTTTTAATACTACTTCGTGTCATAGAAATTCTATGAAGTTTACAGGGTTTTTGGTTTAACTTGAGTTTTAGTGCGTTGAAATATAGGTTAACCTAACACTAATGAATCACTAGATAATGATAAAAGAAATAACTTCAGAAACCCAGCATTAGCAGTTGATATTTAAACAAGGTTTAAATGGATAAGTTAAAAACCTGTCTCAAACTTAATCGCGGCTAAAGCTATAGATTAACTTATCTATATCAAGATATTATCATGTTTTGTCTTTGTTTAAGAAAGTGGTCATCTTATATGCTCACCTAAAATAAAGCGTAAACACACACTTCTTTGTTACCTAAGATGTCAGCAATTACAGCATACTTTTAAATAATTATTTTTTTATATAAAAATTCTTACACTTCCGTCACGCTTTAGGCTATATATTTTCACGCTATTAAACTTAGAGGGTAAAAATTTTGGATAAAAACCCTAATGTGGGAAAGAGACCATAAGTTGCCGCCAACATCAAGAAAGTAAGATTGCCAAGGTTTGTCATGTCATGTCATTTGGACATTTGCTATTGATAATTTGACAAATTTGAACGATAAAATAAAATTTTCATAATTTCATGCGGATGTAGCCGCACGGGAACAGCTAGTAGTACATATTTATGTTTTTTTGTTACCTCATAACTTCGATCCTGGTTGACCGATTTTGATGATTCTTATTTCATTCGATAACTTATACTTTTCCGGAAGTACCATTTTAATTTTACCGATATCTAACAATTAGTTTTTAAGTTATCCTTATTAATATTTGTAATGCCAAAATTACTCACTATTTTAATCCGGATTTTATAATTCTGTCTTACCTCGTGTATCCAGTAGATAGAATTAATCTTTGTAATTGAGGTCGACAGGGTATCCACTTAATTTGAGATCCACTTGCGGTTTATTGGCCGAATCAATTTCGTAACGAACCCGCAACGACCGTCCGAGATATAAATCTACTATTCTTTTAACGAAAAGATTTAAATACTTAGAGCGTGCTCACATTTAAGAATAAATAATCGCACAACCTATCGTCAACTTGCCCTTATCCCTTATCGGCATAGTATGTGCTGCTTTTCCATACATCTCTATCAGCAGTCGTATCTGAATCCACTCCTTTCTTAAGCATATCCTCTTTCACACAATCCATCCATGCTTTTTTCGATCTTCCTCTTCCTTTGTAGCCATCCACATTCAATCTTAACACTTTCTGGTTTATGTCCTCCATCGTCTCGTCGCATAACATTTCACGCTAACCTTTTGCTTCTCAATTTCTCCACCACTGGCGCTACTTTCAAACTTCCTCTAATATACACATTCTTAACTATATCCATTCTTGTCACACCACATATCCATCTTAACATACGCATCTCAGCCACAAGACACATGCAGTCTCCTTTCATCCGCAACTTTGGTTTCCCAACATTCAGATCCATACAATACGACAGGTCTTATAATAAATAAATAATCTTAAATCATCGCACAACTGTTTTTTTGCACAACTAAAAATCGAGTAGTCTCGCTTGGATCCTAAGAGCTTATATGGAGGTGTAAAAGCTGATAGGAATCCAAGAGAGACAACAGATCGATAGTTTAGTCAAATGTGTGCGCGTCCTTTTAAAATAAGTAAATAGAGAAATTAAACTAATTAACGGTTTAACTCACATTTCATCATCCGGTAAGTACCGACTAGTTTCGGGCATGTCTATGGTCCATACAGGATGAGTATTACTTTGGCAGTATGTTTTAATAGCTTAAGCCTGGGGAAATAGCTATCGATTATTATTAAATAAATTAAGAGATTCCTAACAAAAGCATGAGGTAATTTAAGTGGGACAATGGCTTCATTAAAAGAGGGTATAAAATAAAACGACAGCTGTAAAAAGAGTTATTCAATTATACACCTATTTGCTAAATTACACGAAATAAAGTAATCCTAGATAATAAAAATAATAAACACATATTAAAATTTTCTTAAGGAATATTTTTATTTCGGAATCGAACTTTGAATTGATTGTAAACATACCTCTGATTACTGACCTATCAGTCTAAAAGCCTTCGTTAATTATTTCAAGGATTGCTACCTTTGTGACAAACTTTAAAAACCGCAATCCGGACGCATCTAGACTTCCAGACGAAGTTATCGAATTAAAATAGGGACAAGGTTTTAAATAAGTTCAAATAGGTAGCCAGAGTTTATCTGAAAACTTCATCAAATTTTCATAACAAAATATCTTCCAATAGTCTTATAATATTGTATTACCTTTTACATTATAGTTGAATAACTTATAAATTCTGTTGATTACAGTCAACTCCAGTTAGTTATCAAGTTGCGTAAGTTAAGTAAATGAGACGCCGGACGGGTTACAGCGGGACTCATCGGTCAACGCCTTTTATTTCTCGTCACACAACAATTTGAATTACATTTTCAAATACGTACCTCAAAAATCCCAAGCGATCTCTGTAAAGACTCCTCGAGAAACATAAACACTGCGATTCCCGCCTTTGTTGAAAAAATTAAAGTTTTTAACTTTTCATAATACACTACCTACTGAGTTGTAAGTCCACTTGACAAATGGTTACGAAAAAAATTTGAACACTATTTAATGTCAATAAACTTTTAAATTAAAACGTTATTTTTATTCTTATAAGAATACAACCATTCCTAAAGGAACCAACTACAAACCAGTTTGGTTACTAACTCGCGCGTAGAATGGTAGAAGCTCTCGTGTTGCTGCATTCATGAAAATGTATTTAATGCGCGACAGAAATATATCTCCGTCTCATTCTAAGCTTTAGCTTTCTTTAGAATTCCTTAGGGCGCGCTCGCTTGTGGTATACAATAGTTCATTGAAGCGTTGAACACTCAATATTCATAATGCGTTTCCCGCGCTTGCCTACAACTTATTTAGAGCTGCAACAAAAGAACACCTTGAAATTAATATAATAGGGCAACAAATTATAATTAAGGAACGCGTATATTTTTAATGTTGTGTCGATTAAAGTCAAAGAATAAAAATAATTTTTACTTCTGTTCTCGACAAATTAATTATGCAGTTGTGTGTAACTAAGATAATTAATATTTGGTAAATCGAAGTAAGTCCCAAATGCAATAAAATGGTTTTCATACATACATACACACTATAGGTAACATAAGAGATTAATTAAATGGTTTTCACATGTCTATTGTTACATGAAAGTATGTGCTCAAAAGATAATTATAGATTTTTACAAATATAATAGCATCACGAAGAACTCCCACTTTAAAAAAAGTTTACAAACAATGTCATGTTTGTCGCATTGTTTATAAAAAAGATAAACATTTGTTTTATAGGAAACAAGAAAAAATCTACAAACTACAAACACAAGCTTTGAGTTAAGTGTTGGATTCAGGATTATAATTGAAGATATAAAGTCTGAAGTACATTATACAGCAGCATATTGAATGAAGTAAATATAAAATTGGAATCATTTTCAAACAACAAATAGCAACAGTTAACTTTTTAAACAGGTTTAAAGATAACAACTTTACGTCTTATATGGCTAAAAAGTCTCGCTACCAAGTCATGAAATAAAAAAAAATATCTAGGGAGCGTGTTTTTGACATTGACACATACATAACCTTTCAATTTGTTGTTTTTACCCGAAAATGTGGCTTATATTTTTTGTTTAAATTCTCTAGATTTATAAAAGTAACATTGACTGTTTTTGACTGTTAACAATTAATACAATATGAGCGAAGAAAATATTGAAGTAACTGAACCAAATGCAGGGGAACAAAATGAAAATAATCCACATAAACGAAAGTGGCGTAAAAAACGAAAGAATTTCTTATCCAATGCAAAGAAATATGCTAAGAAAGGACAGATGGGTCGCGGAACACAAATACCTGAAGAGTTATATCAGTATTTCGTTGGAATTTTGGAAGCTATCAAACAAGGGATCGAAGATAAGGATGAAAAACGTGAATATCTTTTTAGTTTATTTATTCTTACTAAATTAAACGTATTTTACAATATAAGATAAATTTAAATTGCAAACTATTTATTTCATAAAGAATTACAATTTTTTTCGAGTCTTAAATGTGACAATTTAAAGATAATTTTTATTTATTTCTTTACAGAGGCTTTAGTTAACAATGTACTGGAGAGAAGTAAAGGTGAAGAGTTAAACATAATGGGCAATCAGCTAGGTTGTCGTGTTATAGAGCTTTTAATACCATATTCAACATCTGAAGATCTAGAACGATATATAGAAGTTGTCAATTCAGACTTACGTAGACTCTGTTCAGATAACTTCTGCGGTTATGTTCTCAATAGTATGCTGACTGTTTGTAGTCACAGAGCTACAGATCAATTCCAGAATGATCAAGAAGTAGAAGATGAAGTACCTAAGAAGAAGCGAAAGGTGGAAAAATCTAAATACACAGAAGAACATGTTAAAAATTGTCACGAATTTGTTATGAAAATGTCCAAATATGTTTTGAATAATTTGGAAGATTTTGTTTGGGAACCGAACACAAATTATATGGTACGAACAGTACTTAAATGTTTGAGCGGTATAAATCTCTTACCTGGAGAGAAACCTAAAATAAATCTATTCAAAGAGCCGATATTACAAAACAAAGGAATACCGCCACACCATAGTGACGTTAAATATAGGATTGTTCCGGAAGAATTTCTCGAAGTAATCAAAGAGTTTGGCAACCGTCTATCACTTTGGCCTCAATTTAAAGATTTGCCGTTTGAAAATATGACATCAGCGTTATTACAAGTCCTTCTGTTTGCTGTTAAAAATGCTGACAAAACGTTAACAAAGCATTTAATAAAGAAATTATTGAATGAGAGTTTTGCACCTGATGATTGGGTACCAGAAGGATCTGATGATAAGAAAGATGATGAAAAAGATGTTAAAGGTGATGGAAATGATGAACAGAATGATACATCAAGTTCCAATTTACCTCCTGTCTTTAAATCGGAAGCAGCTGTAAGGTGAAGTATTTTTCTTCTTAAGTTTAATGCATGGTTTTTGACAAAATAGTATAAAGGCAACTTTGCCTAATTGACAGCTGAAACAACCTTACAATGATAAGAAATCCTTCTAATGAACAGTATTTACCCTATTTATCTGTTTTAAACCCCTTTTTCACTAGCGAGGCTGCTATAGAAAAAACACTATTTTCACCACCGCAGAGCTTCAATGTAAGACTACTATAGATTTTTTATGTCTTATTATTGAATTAATACATAGTAGCTTTTAACTGTGACTGTGCGGAATTGAAAACTTTATAAATTGTGTGTTTTCAAGACTGTCATACATATGTGACAAATTACAGCATTCATGAAGCCTAAACCTCCATAACATAACCAGCTCACTATACTTCCCCACCGAAGGGCTAGGAGTCTACCCTAATAAAGGGTGACTAGGCCATAGTCAACCACGCTGCACTGCGGGTTGGTTGACTTCACACATATCTTTGAATTTCTTCGCCCACATGTGCAGGCATCACGATGTTTTCCTTCACCGTAAGAACGTCGGGTAAATTATGTACATATGAAAATTCGAAAAATTGAAAATTACATTGGTACGGCAGGATTCGAATCCAAGACCTGTAGATTACAAGTCAAGTGTTTAAACCACTGAGCCACCGACGCTCGAACCTCCATACATCCATAGAAATTTTCCAATTCATAATATTAGTATGATTCTCTAAATGTTTTCCAGGTTATTAGAGGCTGCGCTGTTTGTGGCTAAAAAGAAGATGTATACTCAGATTTATGCTAAATGCTTTATCAATCGCCTCGGTCAGCTCGCTACTGTCAAGATGTTGAACTTTACTGTGCAACGGTTATTTGACAACTGTCAGATTAAAGAAGAGGTATGCCATACAGTTTAAAAATAACTGCTAAATTTAATGATAAATAAAAAAATGATTTCCAATACTATGATGTAGTATGAATGTAAATGCATTAGGAAGTAGCTGTTGCCCGCAACTTCGTCCATGCAATGTTAAGATTAAAACGTAGCGTATAATATGCCTGTCTACGTCAGCTATCATTCAGTGAAGGAAGTCTAAGTCGGTGCAGACGTTACGGAGACTACCAGAAACGCAGCTTGCGAACAGACAGACAGACAGACAAAAAAAATTAAGTGCTATTATCGTTATCAGCAACGCAAATACATCATCTTCCCGAAATCTGGAATTTTTCTTCTGATATTACAAACAAACACTCCAATTTTATTATATGTATAGATAATATGACTTTTAACTTTTTAAATCTTGATTTTTTTTCAGTTTGAACCAATGTTTGAAGAGATAAGTCCCAAATTTGAGGAGATAATGTCATGTGGTAACACCGGCGTGCTGGTGGCATTGGCCAAAGCCTGTCATAGACTGAAAAGCAAGCAAACACAGTTTGTGCACGTAAGTTACAGGAAATAAATTTAGACTCCATTTGTTTAATGTATGAAATAGCGCCATCTATTGGCTGCATTATTAAAGTAAACTAAATAAATTTATTTGTTATCTTCTTTTAGCATCTAGAAGTATTACTGAAGTGTACAGAAGAAGCAGATCAGAAGTACTTCTCAGTGTTATGTCTGCGATTGTCTCCGCTAGACAAAGTGGATGTTAGCAAATTTTCGGAGGAATATTTTATAAATATACACGGATCTATTATATTGCAAACTATATTAGACTTTCAGGTATGTTATATACAGTTATGTTCAATAGAAATGATATTTAATTGCGCGCGGACAGAGTCGCAGGCGAAAGCTAGCAAGATAATAAAAAAAAAATTAAATCTTGTAGTGTTTTATGATGTTCATAGATGGCGTTGCTCTTTAGTTTCTGTTGCTTTTTTTGTCTTTCTATATTTTGTTCTTTTGACTATAATATTAATTCCAGAGGCCAACAAAAGCAGTATCAAGCTTATTATCTCTGAGTGGTGAAGAATTAGTGGTAATATTAACCGACGCTAAGGGCAGCCGCATTGCTGACGCGCTCTGCTCGGGACAGCAAGTAGGAGTTAAATCCAGAGATAAACTTGTTAAAAAACTTAAGGTAAGACTAAATTAACTATTATTTTAGATAAGAATTGATTACTAGTTTAAATAATAAATAAATAATAGTAGTTTAATTATTAGCTTAATTAAATAACAAGGTGAAACGTTTGTACATATGACGGATAGATGGCGTTGTCATTAATTTTTAAATAATTTTGTTAATTTGAAAAAGATTTTTGTGGTAATGTGTTGTAATTTTGATAACATTGTCATAAATGTTACGTTTTTTTTTTCATGTTTTTTTAATTTTTTTGTAGGGCTTCTATCAAAAGCTAGCTCTATCCCAGCACGGGTCGCGGGCATTCGAGCAGATATTCTGCGCATCCTCTCCGGAGCAGCAAGTCATGATAATGTCGGAGTTATCAGACAAGAGCAGTTTGCTGAAAGGCTCGCAGTACGGACGAATTATTGCTGAGAAATATGATCTGGCGACATTTAAACTGTCCCAAAAAGCTTGGGAAAAAGCCAGGAAGAAAGCTACGAAAATACAAGATAACTAATTTTAGACTAATCATACCTATTGTTTAGGTAATTATTGTTATATTTAGATATAAGGATTTAAGAATAAACAATGAAATAAATTTAATTAGTTTTATTTTGGTTTTTTATTTTTTTGCACAGATAACATCTGAAAATAACAATTTTCTTACTAATACAATGTATCTCAAATCTTGTTTAATTCAAAAAGTTAAAATAAACAGGACTGTGAAAAACAAAAAAGAATTTATTTTTTGTAATTTTTTTTTAGACTATTAGGTAAATTTTGATGATATGACATTTAAAAGTATTAATACGAAATATGACAAAATTAGAGTTACAACAGTTTCCTATTAGACCGGATACTGACAGACGCCGTTGCAGCCGCGCGGCACCTCCCCCGGCCGCAGGCGACACGCGCGCCCCGAGCACATGTACTCACCTTTACGTAAATTTACCTCTGGACGAGACTTTGTTGTAGCTGAAAATATAAATACACATATCTAAATTAAACTAAAATTCACCCTACAATGGTTGAAGTAACGTCTTATTTGGCTTAAAAACATCAGTTCAGATGAAAGATTACTTTTTCATATAAGACCATACCTAATACTAACGGGAAAGTTTGGTTGTATGGATATTTCTTTCGTGTTTCCTTGCTTTTGCACCGATCAAAAAATCTCGTAAGATTGATTCATTTTTCAAAACCTACTATTGTTTTGAAAACGACATCTTTTAAGACATTTAAAAAACGTAAGCACTTACAAAATAGTTGTACTAAATAAGCCAAAAGATGGCGCTAAACTAAACTCCATAAGAAAGGGATCATTACGATAGTTCGACTTTTTAAAAATCCTTTCATACCTTGAGGATTGTGATGTGGTAATGTCTTTCTTCCCTTTACATCTTGTGCGTGAGAAGATCTACGGACGAGCAGACGCTGTTCTAGAGATCTGAAGGTGTCATCTCGGTCTATCGGCGTACAACTGCCGACCCACACCATCACCGACATAGTACCTAAGATAATCTGTAAGAAATAATTAAAATAATAGTAATATTATAAAAGCGAAAGTTTGAAGATGTTTGTTATAGTCTGTAGCCTAAATGGCTGAACGGATCTTGATGAAATTTGGCATAAATATAGAGGACAGTCAGGAAGAACGTATTTGTTTATTAAATTCCACATGAACGGAGTCGCAGCCAGATCCTAGTATTATAAAATAAACAAAAACAAATCCAGAGTTTTATCAAGAACGGTAACAATAAAAGTAAAAAACACATACTATTTTATCCTAAAAAAACATTTGAAAAATCTCCGCAAGTTTATTGTGATTTAGATTCACATGACTTTTAATCTGAATAAACAAAACAACGCATTATTCTCCGTTAAACTCATTCTGTTATTAAGTGGAAAATATGCGTCATTTTTGTTCAGAACAAGCACGAATCTTATTTACTGGACACGTCACCGTATGAGCCATTGATTATGAGTACTGAACTTCTGTGTTACCAGAAGGTTAATGGTCTAAATGTAAACACATTACATAGTACGAAATTTAAGTACAATATTGTCTAATAAATAGAAATATAACAAATGAAGTACCGCTTTCTTGACTTTTTATGTGTAGTCTTTAGGTACATGCAGTGGGACAACATAGTTGGTTTTGGCCTGAATCTGTAAGCTCCGCGCCACGAGATTCGGTACATACTTCTTATCCTCATTAGGATACAATCACACAAACTAAAAGCATTCAGATAAGATTTTCATGGCTTTTGATATTTAACGGATCTCGTTTTGAGATCTCCAGTCTATGTGAATGGGCCCTTATTATCTTGACAGTGGTAGACTACCTACTAGGCCCACTTTAACATCTTAGCACTGTAGGACCGGCACGCCCGGTGTAATACCACGACCACACAGATGACAGGCGTGAAATAAAAGCAATTCCGTGTTTCGTCTGATGAGTGTGGTGCCGGAGGCCTAATTTAAGTCCCTTTCTCTTTACCACCCTTTTTATAAGGTGAGGATGGGAAGGGGAAGTGGATTTGACGGAGGAGGAGATACATAGGAAGGAGAAATACCCTCTTTATGTGCGTCTCCTCCTCTGTCGGATAAGGGTAGGCAAAGCATCTGCATTTGCGGATGTCAATGGGCAGCGGTTGCTTCGCCATTTTGGCGGATTCAGGTGGCCGCTTGCTCGTTTGCCACTTTAAGTCATAAAAAAAATTATGATCGTGTTAGTGAATAACGCAACGCACTTAAGTTTGTCACGTTTATCTTTGTTGACATTGAATAACAAAAAAGCTAATAATATTAAATTACTTTTGATAAAAATCCATTATAACTAAGACCACTTAAAAAAACATAATGTATTCAAATAAATCAACATATGTAGACTCTCCATTTTGAGCTTTAAAACTTGTTTTTATTAATAAAAATCGTAATCACAATCTACTATAAACAATTAATAAATTAAAATCATTTATAATGACTAATTAAATTTTAAATAAATAATTCCGATTTTCTTGAAGTATGTCCCAAAACACCAATAACGCACACCTAAACAAGATTGCATAACGTTCCAATATAGACAAAATAAAGTTAAAACTGAACTAAAACCGTATATTATTATAATTTTACTTTCAAAAACACAATAAGTATTAATAATTAAATAATAACACAATAATTAATACGATTATTTGTTTAATTAACACTTAAAAGTGTAAACAAAAGCTTTGTTACACTCACCAACGTGCGCATGACCTGGCCTCCTGTACACCTTCTCATAGACTGTACTAACATAAACATCTGACTCGTTCTTGTAAGAAACTCGTTGTACAAGGTGACTACATATTGCGAAAAAAAGGAGATATTCCTGAGAAATAAGATCGAATTTTTATTTATTGATTAGAGACGAAAAAAAATATTATTAAAACTGCTTACTATTTGTGGGTTTCAATTTTGAGTTTATAAAGGAACTACTTAAGGACAGGTAGCGCCATCTACCTACAATGTGAAAATTGCATACATAATTATCTATTTTTTTTGGTGTCTGAACAAACGCACTTATAAAATGTATTTTGTTAACTTGTAAAAAGTTTAACGATAACATTTTATTATATACTAGCTGTTGCCCGCGACTTCGAGCACGCAATATTAACATAAAAAAATAAATGACATCTGACCAGTCATTTCGGACATTACCCGAAACATATGCGGCT